CAGCTCCAGGGTCTACAGCCCCCTCCTGATCTGCTTGGGTCTGCTCAGCACCCAGAGCCAGTTGAGGAGTGCTGAGGAAAGGGGTGGGAAGCAAAGATGCACCACTGGGTAATATTTCTGCAAAAATTTACCTTTCAAAGACAAATTCAAAAGCCATTAAAAAGATAAAGCTGTAGAAAGCCAGAGGCTTCTTCCCCACTCAAACATGCAGGAGAGGTTTTGCACCTGGCATAAGCCTTAAACAAAATAAGGAATTCTGTTATCAGAGCAATGTGGAGTTACACAGAGCTGCAGCCAAGTGCTGTGAGGAAGGCAAAGGCCGGCAGGGCTGAGCTGGAGGCAGCCCAGGGGATTTCAGTCTTGCAATGCCACCTTGTGGGAATCACTGCAACTCCTGCCGGGCTGGAATACAGCAGGCACCCAAGCAGGAGCTTTCCCAGCCAAAAAAGAGAGGCTTTAAAGCCTTCCTACAACACCCGTGGTGTTATGTTTTCCTCAGACTGAAACTCACTGTAACAACAAAACCTTTAATTTTGAGTCCTTCACAGGAGAAAAGAAGTTTTGCACAATTCAAGCTGACAAATCCAGACTGTGTTCCCTCCTACACCATGAGAACAGAGCTAAAAGAAATGCATTTTGGAAAGGCACATCAAACATCCTGAAAATTAAACTTGGCCCAGCAACAACATCTTAAGGCACTCAGATTAATTTTGACTATTAAACCTGTTTGGCTGTTATTGTGTTTATGGAAGTGTTGACGTGGAATTTACCACTGCGTTTCTGGAATTTAAGTATTACCAGCATTGACATGGAATTAATTGTGGAAGGTGATTCAGCTCTGCTCAGGCGAGACCCCACCTGCAGAGCTGCCTCCAGCTCTGGTGCCCTCAGCACTGGAAGAACACGGAGCCACTGGAGCAAGTCCAGAGGAGGCCATGGAGATGCTCTGATTGGAACAGCTCTGCTCTGGAGATAGGCTGGGAGAGCTGGAGGTGCTCAGCCTGGACAGGAAAAGGCTTTGGAGAGAGTTTAGAGCCCCTACCAGTGCCAAAGGGGTTCCAGGAGAGCTGGAGAGAGACTGAGGACAAGGGCCTGGAGGGACAGGACACAGGGAATGGCTCCCACTGCCAGAGGGCAGGGAGGGATGGGATATTGGGAAGGGAGGCCCTGGCACAGGGTGCCCAGAGCAGCTGTGGCTGCTCCTGGATCCCTGGCAGTGCCCAACACCAGGCTGGACAGGGCTGGGAGCAGCCTGAGACAGCAGAAGGTGTCCCTGCTCATGGCAGAGGGCTGGAACAAGACAAGCTTTAAGGTCCCTTCCAACCCAAATTCTGGAATTCTGTGATTAAACTGAAATGCCCAAAAACCATCACTACAGGATACCCTCCCACTGGGACCAGAGTGCCCTTCACAGGATGAGAGCCTTCCACTGCAGCTCCCCAACCTGCCCATCAGTCCTTGTCAAATTTGGTTATCAACAGAGTTTTATAAAACACAGATTTGTGAAATCCTCAGGAGAGTGAGGCTCATCTGCCTCAGCACTTGAGGTTGCTAGCACTTAAATCCTCCCCCAAATACAAGCTGGCTGTCCTTACCAGGTGACATAAAAGATGCCACCATGGGATGAGAAGCAGCTGCATGTGCTCTGCAGACTGTTCTAAGAGAAACATTCTGGAAGGAGACAACTCTCTCTCACCCAAATAAGAGCACTGACAACCACCAACAGAGAGCCTCACACCCCTGAGCCTTTCTGCACCTTCATGTACAAGCTCATCAAGCAATGGCCATTCAGTGCCTCATCAGCCAAGCCACACGCCCACAGCATGGGAAAAGGGGGATGAAACAGGGCAGCACCCAAAGCCTCGGGATGAGACATTGCCTTCAGCGTGGCAACAACCCACTGACCTCCCCACCTGGGCCAGCTGTGCTGCTGTCACCAGCCAGGGTGACACATCCAGGTCCAGCAGTGGCACCCACCCATCCCTGGAATGGGCAGGAACCATATCCTGCCACCCAGCTGCCCACCCAGGACCCCTGGGCAGGGCTGAGGGCACTTACCACTCAGCTCTGGGGGAGGGCTCAGGTAGAAGGTGCAGTAAATGTCATTGTGCATCTGCAGCTCTGCATTCATGAGCTTCTTCAGCAGGTCTGGGATCTTCTCCTCCTGGAAAGGAGTCTTTTCCAGGATGACAACAGCATCTGTGCCCTCTCCAGAGAGGCCAGTCCTCTGGAATATGAATGGATAAAGTCATCAGCAAACACAGATCCAGCACTGGGTGGACAGTCTGAGGTCAGGGATCACGGCAGACACCTCACAGCCCCCCAGACCTCATGACCAAACCCCCTGCAGGCCAGACACCCATCCAAAAACAAACAGCACATCTGCCCAGAAGCACAGCAGGAATTTACTGCCACCAGGGAACACAGGTGGTTTTTGGGGGAGCAGGGGATGTGGGCAATGACTCAGCCCATCTGTACCTCCCCGGATGCTCCCAGGTTTCCTGCTGACCCTTAGCACCAATTTCATCTCTGACACTTCCCAGAAAGAGGGAAAAGGCAGGCGTGGGGATTTGCATCATAGTCAGAGAGCAAGTTCTGGGGCAGGGGGCACTTACTGCTGCCCTGCTCCAAGGAACCACAGCCCCTGATCCAGAGGCCTCAGTGTGCTGGTTTTGGGAGGTGCTGGGTGTGGAACATCCCCCAGCATCATTCCTGTCTGTACAAGACCCAGGTGAGGCCTCACCACACCACCCTGGGGCTCCTAACCCGGTCAGCTTGAGAAGGAAGACGTGTGCTAATGCCTTTACAAACAATTTGATAGGTGTTTGAAATGAATATTAATGTCTCTATTGACTTTGGGCAGTTTGGTTCCTGAAAGAGAAAAGAGCCTGCACAAGCCTGAACTTCTGAACTTTGAGGGGAAAATGACAGGTTTAAGGGGGGATATGGGGTAGGAGGTTCAGGAAGGCTCCCTGGTACCTCAGCCAGTGGGGAAAGGAAGGGCAGCAGACAGCCAGGAGTTAGGATAAAAGGGAGGCTTCAAAAGCTCAAGACAGAAACCCTGTGGGCATGTGCCCCAGTGGACTCTCTCTCTGCACTGGAATGAAGTGGAAGGACTCCTCTATTTCCTTTTAAACATAAACCTCTGGCGTTTGTGGATTTTCCTGACACGCTCACAGGACAGGGCAGGTCTGTGCCCACCGACTCGAGAGCATAGAAGCAGCCTGGAACCTCCCCGTCCTCATCTCCTGCTTGGATGCTTAAGGAGACACGTGCCGAGGCAGCTGCACGGTTCCCTCGCCATGCAGAATCCCAAAAATTCTGCAAATTTTCCTGCAATGGCTGTACTATTTACAGTCCCAGAATCACCACGCTGCTTGCAATCCACTGACACTTCAGCTACCAAGCACGAACGGCGCGCTGGGATCCAAAAGCACCCAATCACACCAACAAGAAAGGACTGCGATAAGCTCTCCAGCCGCCAGCTCCGCCCGTTTCGGGCAGGGCCAGGCGGGAGAAGCGGGCCGGGCCCGGGATAAGCGGGAGCTGCCGGGGCGGGGCCGCGCCCTCAGCGCGGAAAATGGCGGCGGCCGCCCCCGCCCCCCCACCGCCCGCTACCTCCGCGTGCAGGAACACGGTCTTGTCCCGCGCCGACTCCCGCAGGACGCGCCGCACCCGCAGGTCCGAGAGCGTGAAAGCGGCGGCGGTGCCTTGAGGGGCGTCCCCGCCATTCTTCTCCTCCTCCTCCTCCCGCTTCCTCTTCGGCTGCGGGCCCTCCGCCATGGCTCCCGCCCGCCCCGCACTGCGCACGCGCGCCGCCACACGGCGCCCCCTGGCGGCCCGGAGGCCGCGCGCCCCCGCCGCTCCTTCCCCCACAAAGACAAAAACACGGAAAAACATCAAAATTTAAAACTTCTGCATTTTCGTAGTCGCGACGATTCCGTGCAACGTCACTGCCTGCCTCATCTTGTCCTGCCCGCAGCCCAGCGGGCGCTTTGTCAGCTTAGTAGGGGTCCCAGAGCCCTCAGGACAGAGAATGCCAGCGCAGTGAAGAGCTCTCGAGAACCACCCGATATCAGAGCTTAGTGTTTGTGTGACAGTGTGACAGATGTCCCTGTCCCTGCTGAGGAGATTTTGGCCACCGGGACGTGGTGGGCTCTGCTCTGCTGTCCATCATGGATGTGGAGAACTCTCTATCCTTGGTCCCCAGGTCCTGTCTAAGCAGCTCAGGTTTGACCTCAAGGTCCAACGGGACACGCCAACATCCAGATCCAGCGGTGACAGCTCCAAGATGCCCATGGGAATTCATCTGCCTGCTCCCAGCACTACTCCATGCTTTTTGTGGAGCTCCGGCACAGTTCCTGGAGGTCTGCAGGGACAGCAGATGAGCTCCATTAGCAAACAATTACTCTAAAAATCAATTTTAAATAAACACATAGCATCTGGTCCCTTCCCATGGTCCTCACCCCAATGGACTGACGTTTCACCAGCATCCCACAGGATACTCACAGTGCATGACAGTGTCTCTGATCTGCCTAAAGCTCTTCTCCTTCAGCGCCATGTAGATGTAGTAGATGTTCCGCAGCTCCCTGGGATAATCCTTGCGATCCACGTCCTTCAGCACTGGGATGGTGCGTCCATTGGCCATGGGAGCCTCAGCCAAGGCCTGGTGCATCTGGTACCTGCACCAGGGGTCCTGCAGGAAGCCGGGGGTTATGAGCATGACCCAGCAGTGGCTGTTCTGCACGGCGTCACACAGCTCTGTCACCACTGCGCTTCCCACCACCGCATCCCGCAGCTGCAGGAAACAACGGAAGCTCTCAGGTTGGCCCTCCAGGTAGGACACCAGCTCCAACACCAGCTCCACGTCCCCCTCGCTGTGGCAGATGCAGACGTCGTAGCTCTTGTCCCACCGGGGACTGTCCGAGGCGCTGATGTCCACCACTGACACTGGCGACAGGGAGATGCAGCTGGTGGCCAGGCTCGTGCCAGAAGAGCTGGAGCTCTTGGCAGAGGATGAGGAGGAGGAGGAAGGCGAGGATGAAGCAGAGTGGCTGGACTTGAGGCTTTCCACTGAGCTGGGCTTGGGTTTGTGCAGGAGCCGCCTAAACCAACCTGCAGAGTGAAGTCACGGTGAGTTTTGGGGGCTCAGCACCCCCTGGACTTCCCAAGCGCAGCACCATTCAATCTGCAGGACTCCCCCAGATGCAAAGGGAAGGGTGGGATCTCACCTTGACCCCCAAAACCATCCTGGTCCCTGAAACTGAGCTGCCACCAACACGTGAATGCTGTGGCATGGTGAGGAGCAGCCCATGGGCACCCTGGTGTTCTGCTGGGGAGGGGATGGTGTGAGGGAGGGGACAGAGCCAGGCTTATTCCCAGACTCACCAGCCATAGTGGGCAGCACGCTGCTCAGCCACTGACTGCCAGCAGGACACCTCTCCTGAGAGCAGAAAAGAGGAACAATAAACTGAGAGCAAGAATTGTTTCGTGGCAACTCTCAGCCCCAGAAGCTCAGTGTGGTCTGTTCCAGGGATCTGCACCTCCGGGGTGCTCTTACAGCCCCAAAATCACCCCCAGTACATCTGCCTCCCCAAAATGGGCTGGGAACATTTACCTGTTACTGGCTCTCTCCACTGAAGATACACACCTGCAGCAAGCGAGGCCAAGAGAGTATGGGGAGGAGAAACCCTCATCCCCATCAGTGGGAAAAAGATCCTGTGGAGGGGAGAAGTGGAAATGAGCTGGGATCACCAGGGATGGACTGGGTTCTGGCAGACCAAAGGCAGGGTGGGTGATGCCCAGAGCTGTGCATCCTTGGTGCTCCCTGCCCTGGCATTCCTGTCTGTTCACACCAGCTGACACCATCCTCAGCACTGTGCTCCCAGCACGGTTTAGGAAGCCCAGACACTCCCTGTGGACACCCAGGAACAGCAATGTGGCAAACAGCTGCTGTTTTCCCCTGCTGGCATCATCCCTTCCGAAATGAAACACCCCAAGTCATGCTGAAGCCTTTCCCCTACTCCAAAACCGGCCCAGGACTGTAGGAAATGCCCACAAAACCTCAGCACACCCACGGAAACCACAGTGCCCAAGTGTCACCACTCAGTGACAGCCAAAAGCTCAAGTGTGACTGGAGCAATGAGCATGGACAGTGAGCAGTGGGGGGAAGTTGGAGGGATGCTTACCTGGAATGCAGGAGTCTGGCACCGGAGCAGAGAAGGGGATGCATCAGCCCCTGGGTTTGGCAAAGAAAGATCTTCTGGGATTACCTGGGTGGGAAGGGACAGGTAGAATATTCACTCTGCAGTCTAGTGGGATCTGCAGTGAATGGGAGTCTGATCCATCCTTGTAGCTGCCACATCCAGGAGCGGTTCCCAGTGAAGCTGCCCTGGGCTGGAAATGAGGGCAGGGCCACCCACCTGCCTCCCCAGGGACAGTCTGGAGGAGCTCCCCAACACCCAGGTGCCCCCAGCTCCAGCCTCTGCTGGGGAATGTGAAAGCACAGGCAGGCTAAATGGGCCAGGACTGTGGGGAGGGGAAGCCAAGCCCTGCCAAGGGCCTCCCTCCCACATCCGCCACATGCCGTCACTGTCTGGGTGTCAGTGTGCCCAGCCCTCACATCTGCTTTCCTCTCTGGTTTCCTGACTAAATACACACAGGTCCATGTTTGCCACTCACACTTATTTTATGAGTTAAATTTACCTAACAAGTCATTTATCCACCCCAAAATCCCCCCTGTATTTCTCCTTCCCCAGGTCTCATTCCTGTGACGCTGCTGGTGGTGGCCAACAACTGACACTGCCTTCATCTCCTCATCATCCTCAACCCCTCCAATACCTGGTGGTTCCTTCTCAATGCCCTCTGAGAGATGAGCTCCAGGTGAGTTCTGGTTCCATCCTCCATGAATCTGGGGTTCTCCAGGGCCCACATGCCCATCCAGCTCCCTGACAGGCTGTTCCTGGCACAGGAGATTTCCCCATCTCTTCCCTGCCTAGGGGACAATGCCTGGGCCTCTGATGTGGCCAAGCTGATGTGCTGCTGCAGTGTCACTGTGGCCAAGCTGGTGATCCAGGAGGTGACCCACACCCCATGGGACACCAGGAGGTGGGGGCCTGGGGGTTCAGCCCCAGTACTGAATGTGTCCCTCCCTCTCCCATCAGGGTGAGGTGTTGTCCTCACCCTGGATAACAGCAAAGCCCCCTGACCTCGGATCCCCAGAGAGCATGGGCCTGGCACTCACATGGGAGCATCTCCAGAGTGAGCCCAGGGTGGACCAAAGCTGGGTCAGCATCTCCCTCACTCCTAACCCTGGAGTGGTGGCCATCACACCTCCACTGTACACAGCACCACAGAGCTCCCACTGTGGGGTCCCCACCTCTACGCCAGCAGGGAGAATCACAGAACCCCAGAATCCTTTGGGTTGGAAGGGACCTTAGAGATCATCTTGTTCCAAGTCCCTGCCATGGGCAAGGACACCTTCCAGTAGTCCAGGTTGCTCCAAGCACTGCCCTTTGAAGGCCTGGCCTTGGCACATGGCCATGCTCACCTAACCCAAGGTGTTCGTGGAGAGGACAGTCCATGCCAGTGCCCATCACCTCAATTTCAGGACTGCTGCACCTGCCCCCAAAACACACCTCAGTGTCCCCCATCTGCTTGCAAACTGACTGGAACAACCCCCACACCTCCAGGCCTGAAGGGAAGTATTCCCTCAGGGAAAAGTCCCTGTCCTCTGACCCCAAAAATATCCCCCCACCCCACTTAACCTCAACACCTCATGCCAGGGCTAGTCAAGACTCCCTTTCATCAATGCCACCATGAGCCAGCTGTGCCCCAGGACTGAACCCACCTCCTTGCTTGGCACACTACTGCCTGCTTCCTCACCCCCAGGGACCTTGGAGTCTCCTGGGAAGGAGGGCTGAAGATCCCCCAACACCCACCAGCACCTGTCAGGCTTTTGGGGACCAAATGACCACTCTACCACTGGTTCTCACAGGTCTTTGAAGAACTCCTGTTGGACACTGAATGTTCCCTCCATGCTAACACCTGGCTGTGGCTTCCACAAGTATTTCCATGTCTACTCACCCACCACCTTCAGCAAAACGACAGACAGTAGCACAAAACTACGTGACATGGGGGGCACTCCCTGATGGCTTTGAGCCCTTGCCATAAACACCTCCCCATCCCAAAGGATTTCCCAAGCCAGGCCATCTATGAGCCCTGGGAGGCACCTTGGGGGTGCAGGAGCAGGCAGGATCCTCCTGCAGGGCCCCCAGCCCACCCTCAAACACGGTGCTGAGAGCCAGAGGAACCTGGGCAGCCTGTGCCCAAAAATGCACAGTGAATTCCCCGAGAGACACCGGGCTCCTTCCCACCCTTCAGCTGCCTTTCTCTCCACCAAGCAGGGGACACCAGTTGGCCGCTTGGTGGCCAAATCCCAAAGGAAAAAGCGCAAGGCTGAGTGGTCCTGAGCGCCACAGGCTGCCAGCCATGGCCCCAGCACCACTCATCCCTCTGGGACCCATTTCCCATTAGTCCCAGCCCCAGCACTGCTGCCACCACCCCAAAAATCAACTCCCGAGGACAGGACCCAGAGGAGAGCAAGTCACCTGCCTGTGTGAGTCACCCCACAGGGGGAACCCACAAACCCTGAACCCCAAGGGGAGCGCCATCTGGATCAACCCCCAGCCTACCTCAGCAATAATATCACCATTATTAAAGGGGCAATTAAGCAGGCACAGCTGTGTTCACAGTGTGCCTTGACCCACCAGCAGCAGCACCACTCTGACATCCCTGCAGCAGGAGTTTCGGAACCTGTGATTTACAGGATCGCCTCTGGAATTAAGAAACGGTGACGACCAGGTGCTGCAAGACTGGGTGAAATAAAGGTGGTTCTGTTGACAAAATAAAGCTAATTTTATCCCGTTAAAACACCACGAATGTTTCATTTACGGTACCAGTAGAAAACAGTGCATAGCTACCCAGAAAACAAAGAATAATTTTTCTCCTGGGAAGCTCTAAGTACACCCAAATTCCACCACACCTATGCTTGAAATCTTCTAGGCCCAGGCACCGCATGTACCTCATAGGGCTGGAGAGGCGGTCGTACGTACACCAACCCAGGCAACGGCAGCTGGCGGAGGAGAAGGCGCTGAGGGGTAGAGGGGCACGGGGACACCGCCGGGCCCGGCGCGGCCCCGACCCGGACAAACAAAACAAACAAAATAAATAAAACAAACAAAAAGAACGGACCACGCATGCGCCGTCGCCTTTTATAGCCCCGCGAGCACCGCGAGATCACCGCCGCGTTCCCACGCCTGGCCCCGCCTCTTCCGCCGCCAGCCAATGGCGGGGCGGGGAGGGGGCGTGGCCTCTCGTCACGCGGGGCGGGGCGGTGTCTCCTCAATGGGGGCGCGCGCGCGGCGCCAGGTGCGTGCGGGGCGCGCGGGGGCGGGCGGGGCGCGGTTGCCATGGAGACAGCGCGGGGGGGGGAGAAGAGCTGTTGCCATAGCGACGGGGCCGCCATAGTGGGGGGGGTCCCATGGCCGCCGCGCTGAGGGGACGGAGCGGCCTGAGGGGAGCGGAGGAGGCCGGGGGTGAGCCGGGGGGCCGGGGAACCTCTGGCCCGGCTCAGACGCCCCGTCGCCCTCTGTAACAGCTCGTTTTATTGATGTGTCCCCCTGGGAAAGGAGCCGCGGTGTCCTTGCTGAATCCCCGTGTTGTTGCTTTTCCCGCAGCTTTAGCGAGGAGGGCACAACGGAGAGCACAGGTAAGGCTCGAACAAACCCGGAGGTGTGAGCTCCCTCCCCGCTTCCCTTTGCAGGGTCAGTTGTGGGAAGCCAGCGTGTGTCCGTGGGAGGCGGTGGGACACAGAGCTCACCAGGCTTTGCTGTGTCACTGTCTCTCCTCGCTCATGGAGCCATTGGGAAGCACGTGGGGAATCACAGCGTTGAATAAAAACCTCTGGTGTGTTTTGACTCGGCTCCAAGGAGGCTGAATCCTTTGTTTTTGTGGCTTGGACAAGAGCAGAGCTTGTCCTCAATCCCACTGTCCTTAGAGCCTGTGTTTTTCCAGGATGGTTTTGGTCCAGCTCCAGTGCAGCTCCCACGTGGAGGGCTAGGCTTGGGAATTGTTCAACTTAAAGCTGAACATAGTGGCTTTTAAACTATCTTATCTCAACACCTTAAAGCCGCTGAATTGAAAAAGAAGACGGCAATTACATCTTTGCTGGTGGCAGTTCTCAGCATTTAAATAAGCTAAAAATAATGAATGAGCGGTAGGTTTGTACTTGTTTCTTTTGGGAATTTGTGGGGGCTCTTCTGGAAAAGCCTATTTTCCAGCGTGCAGCTGGATCACTTGGCTTCACTTTTAAACAACCAGGTGTAGCTTTAGTTGTGTGTTGGGTGCTGAGCATGGAGATGGACTTCTCCATGAGGTGGGGGTGGAAATGTTCTATTAATTCCCCATTTTGGTTCTGCAGGCTGGGCTCTCTGTTGACTGTGTGGCGTGGTTGTGTTTTGCAGATCTGCAGAGAGGTTTTTGTAAATACACACCCTGTGTGAACCTCAGCCTTTGTTTGACAGCTGTGGTGTTCAGGTGTTTGCTTTTACCTGGGATACACCTTCATATTTCCAACATTTCTGCAGCTGGATGTCTGTGTCACACAGGGAGTTGCTGTGGTTGGGTTTCTCCAGTTTTGGTGACTTGGGCACAGTTTACGGCTGAAGTCTGGAAAGCTTTAGGATAAATTGAGGGATTTCTGTGGTGTGGAGGGAGAAAGAGAATGCAGCAAACCCTCACAGGGAGTCTCTTTTAACCATGATAAAAATGATGGAGATAAGGCTGGGACAGTGGAACAGGGCAGCTGAGCCTGGAATCCATGGAGTGTTGTGTTTACAGTCCTCAGCTCCCTGTAGTCTAAATAGCTGGAAAGTTCCCAGTGTCTGAAGAAGGCTGGAGAGGCGCTTCTTATCTTGTAAGTGCCTGTGGCTCCCTCTCCTCCATGGCACCTGTGTTCCCAGGGGAACCTGCAGTACCTGGTGTGGTTTTTTTTCCCATGGCAGTGTCATGCTTTGAGGTAATCCCATTTAATTTTGGCTACCTCGGCTGTGCCAGCACGATCCATCCCCCTGGGGAGCAGAGTTTCTCCCCAGGACTAAAAACCAGAGGTTTCTATTTCTTGGCTGAATCCCCATGAATTCTTTTTAAGACATGTAATAACTTTTTTGGAGCTAGGCTGTATTTATAATGGGGATTTTGTTCCTTTATGGCTCTCTGCACTAAATAATAGATCTGAAGGTTGAAGGTCATTATATCAGAAAAACTTAAAAGAGGATTATAATTCCAAAAGGTGTTTTTTCCTAAGTTTAAAATTGCTTTTGAAATGTCATTAAGAGGCACTTAAAATTGATTTGGTGGCTCCGTTCCTGCTGTTAATAGCATGGGAATGTGCAGGGTGAGTGAGATGGGAGCAGTGCTGAGGCAGGTGGAAGCAAACAGGGGAGCTCTAGGTGGGAGTTTACAAACAGCCTCGATATCTGAGGCTCAGCTGAGGATTCACAATGCAAAGATAATTCTAAGCTTAAATTATATCCAATTCAGAAAGTGAGGAAAGATTTACCTTTGGTTGTAGCTCTGCTTCTGCAGAGGGGCTGAGGGCAGACCTGGCACCAGCAGGAGCTCAAACTTCCCTCTGAAACACTCCAGTTACCTATTGTTAGTCCTTGCCTCATCTAAAGCATCTTTGCACCACTAAATAAAATCTGGCTGGCTTTGTGAAAGCAGCCTGTCCTTCCAGAAAAAGCAGCTAATCCAGAAGGAGAGATGGGACCCTCCTGGGAAGGAAAAAGAGGGTTTTTCCCCCCTTTATCCTGAGCATGCATTCACTTAGCAGGGATTTGATGGTGAATCTGACAGGTCCTGTGTCCAGCAGGTCCTTCTGTCTTCCTGAGAGTCCCTACTTTGGTCTTTGGAGATGTAACCCCTCCAGAACAGTTCACCATGAGGCCTGACAGGTTGCAGGTATTCAGGGGTGATGAAGCTACAGAGGTTCATTGTCAGAACAGCACTGAGCTCCTGGGCTCAGTGTGGGTTGGAAAAATACAATGTTCACAAGAGGGTGTGATGGAGAAGCCCTGCCTGGCATGCACAGAGTGGGGAAAACCAGGAGATTCCTCCCTTGCTAAAGGCCTTTGACACTTTTATCCAAAATCTGGGCCCTACAGTAAGGCCCAGTAAGATAAAAAGGTGATTATTTGGAGTGATAAGTAGCACATGTTCAGTAATGTTTTAGTAGGTAGGTAGTGAAAACCAGTTCTTTGAGGTGTTCTACTGCTGGTACAATGATTTATTATTGAGCACCGTGGTGTGCTGGAAAGTGTCCCTGCCCATGGCAGGGGGGTGGAACGACACGAGCTCTAAGGTCCTGTCCAGCCCAAACCAATCCATAATGCCATTGTATAAAGTTTTCTGAAGGGGTCACAAGGTAAAGGCTGCACACACAGTGTATCTGAGCATCTGACAGTGTCACTTTGCCCTGTTCTCGTCATCCAGCACTGAAAGGTGGTGCTTTCCTAGAATATTGGCTGATTGCTCACATGATCCTGCCAACACTTGTAGGTACTACCTGGAGATACCTGCCCATTGTCACCTGCTGGGCTGCTGGGGAGCAATCACAGCATCTCATCTCTAGAACAAACCCTCAGGTCTCCCTGAGATGGCAAAACCTGCAAAAACTCTTTGATTTTGGGTCAGCAGTTCTTCCTCAGCATTTCCTTTGGCCAAAAGCCCTTGTTGTTTTTGATGGACTCTTCGTTACAATTGGCAGGAAAAAAGCAGAGGAGGGTGAACAATTCTGTTCATTTCCATTCCCTTTTCATAGACTTATTTGGGAGAAGCAGAGTGGGAGAGTGCTGCGTGCTGGCAGAGCTTTTGTATTTTATGTGATGGGCTGTTGAAAGCGTTCTCAAACTGCACTTCCTTTCCATGGGCTTTAAGGTCATTTCCCAGTGCTTGCAGACTCATGGCGGGCTGGGAAACCCTTCTCTCATCACCAGGGAATGAAACGCTCTCCATGGCTTTTTGGAGCCAACAAAAATCTCTTTGTCTTCTCTTCCCTCCCACTGTTTCCCAAGCAGCAAGTTTGCTGACAGACCTTGTCAGGAAGGGGGGAGTGCTGCTCCAAGATCCAGGCTCTTTGGGAAAATGAGTGGCTGAGGTGAAACAAAGGGTCTGGCAAAGTGTGTTTTGCTGAGGCAATCACACCTGGGAAAAACAGGCAAGGATTTTATGGTAAAAGAGGTTAAGGAAGAGGATGAGACTGTGGGACAAAGTTCAGAGACAAAAACATGCAATTCTCAGCCTGGAGGTGATCTTGGAACGATAACAAACCTGAGATTTATCCACCTGTGCAAAGCTAGTTCTGTATAACCTTGTTGTCCAGGTGGTGTTGTCCATGTGCAGTGACTTTGCTTGTGCTGATTTTTCTACTACAGAAACTGGATGGCTTCTACAGTGAGCCTGGGCAAGGAAACATTATTGGAAGATGGAATGCCACCTGCAAAAAAGCCCAGGTAAATTTAATTATACCCCAGTGAATTTGTTCTAACAAGAGCCTTTTCATTTGCCTTGCATTGTTCTTTAAGGATTGTGACTCCTGGGGCCACAGCTGTTTTGTTTCCTGATCCAAGAACTGTGTGCTGGCTGCTGGCCGTGCCCTGGGCTTTCCTGCTGTTTGTGGAAAAAAGCCTTCACCCCAGAATGTACTTTTTTGGAGTTTTAACCCTTCAGCCAGGGGATGGGGTCGCACTCAAATCTGGATTTTGCTGTCCTGTCTCCACAGTCCTGTCCACTCACAGTGTCAGGTTGGACACGTTGGTTGTGCTTCTTCGCTTGAGTTGGATGGTGGTTTCCAGGAGGACAGGGAGTTACTCAAATTAATATGGTTTAATTGCATGTAAAGGCTAAATAATTCATGCTGAGGCTCCCTGTGCTTCAAAGTAGGTGGTCTTACAGTTCTGTGAGTGGGAATATGACTGGTGGATAATTCTGTCTGAGACTGTGGCTGCTGCATGCTCAAAAGTTGTTGTGAACAAGCAGCTAATTCAACTGCAGGGTTGTCTCCCACTAATTTAATTTATTTGCAAGTTCTGGAGGGCTGCAGGATAGTGCTGTGTGGTGTTGAGGTTGATCAGTGACCCTGGAATGTGCAGAAGAGGTGCTGGAGATTATTTTTTCCTTGCTCAGGATATCAGGGTAGAAACAAGTGTATTTATCAGCACGGAACAGAATGCCTTTTTCAGACATGCAGGACATTAAAACTTGGGTATTTATTATTATTTTGGATTTCATCCCTGTATTTCCAGTAGTGCTTTTATACTAGCTCATTAGCATGAATTCTAATTTATTCCTCACATAAGGCTTGCAGTCCTCAAAGTAAACCCTGTTTATCAGCAGTAACAGTGAAGCCCTCAGGCAGGAAAGGGTTACAAGTCTGTTTTCATAGGCAGGGGCTGAGGGAAGGCACAGCTCCATCTGTGTGGTGTTGGTTTCCTCTTCCCTTCTCTCTAAATATCACGTGCTTGCTGATAAAGCCCATTTCTTCCATACAAGTTGCTTTCCCAGGCTGCTCCTCCAACCCTGCAGAAAGCAGCTGGACACCAGGCAAGGCAAGGCAAGGAGCAGCACATCTGCCTGATAAATGATAAAGGTTTAAAAGCTCTGTGCGGGTGTAAAGCCAGGAAAACAGGGAGGAGGGGAGGAGGAATAAGGAGAGCACAGCCCTGCAGCCCTTTCATGTGACTCTGTATCATCTGGGATATTCCAGAAGGTTGGCCTGGAGAATCCTGCTGACATTGCAGGCATCACAGGGAAGGGCTTGCTGGTACAGCTGAGGGTGTTCCTCAGCAAACTGGGGCTGGGCCCCTCCAGGGCAGAGCTAGGAGGAAGCCTTCCCTTACTTCTCTGTGCTGGGATAAGTGGAGCTATTGTCTCAAGACCCCTGTTCTGCACCTTGTTTAAACCAGGTCGCATTTCCAGCCTGCATGGGGTCTGACACACATTTCACCTCGGGATGTAGAATGTGTGCGTCCCATTCTCTAGTGCTCACCACACCTTTCCCATGCCCTCCAGTCTTCCAGCTAACTTCTATTAATAGACTTTCCTTATTCCAGATTTTTAGTGGATTAGCTTTGCTGCAGAAGCACCCCAGGGCATCATTGACTTCCCCGGTAAGCATCCTGGTAACAGATTTGATTCCCAAAAAGGTTGTAATTCCGGACCTTGTATTGGGAGCATTTGTGCTGCTGATCCATGCAGCTGCCTGCTGTTCTTTAAGGACACGAAGCTGCTCCTCTTGTGGTCTATCAGAGAGCCCCAATGAATATTTGATTCAAAATTTAGGCACAGGGTGCCTCCCTCTTCCTCAGTCTGCGTGTGCCACCACCCCACATACCCTTCCACTCATGGTGGTACCAGCTGTGCTCCTTTCTCCTTTTGCAGGAAGCTGTTGCCAAGCCTCAAAACCAAGAAGCCTCGGGAACTTGTTTTGGTGATTGGGACAGGAATTAGTGCTGCAGTTGCTCCCCAAGTCCCAGCGCTGAAGTCCTGGAAGGGGCTGATTCAGGCCCTCCTGGATGCTGCTATTGACTTTGATCTCCTGGAAGATGAAGAGAGCAAACGGTTCCAGAAGTGTCTTCACGAAGACAAGAACCTGGTCCATGTTGCCCATGACCTTATTCAGAAGCTGTCTCCGGTCAGTGTGCTTGTACCTGCCCTGAGCATAGGATTTGGCTTTTGGAAATAGCCCGATTTGGCTCTCCAGCAATGGTGCCCCCATCCCAACAATTCCTCTATGTACAGGGAGCCACAGGTGCACTTACTGTGCCAGGTGCCTGTGACATTACCCTGCTTTGGGTTTGTGGATGTGGGTTTTGGGTATTTCACCTGGACCAAGATGATTAAAGGGATGGAGCACCTTCCTTTGAGGAAAAGCTGAGAGAACTGGGATTGTTAAACCTGGAGAAGAAGGCTTCAGTGGTGACCTAATTGTGGCCTTCCAGTACCTGAAGGGAGCTGACAAGAAAGATGGAGACTGTGCACAAGGGGAGTTACAGGACAAGGGGGAATGGCTTCACACTGTCAGAGGGCGGGGTTAGATGGGATATTGTGAAGAAGTTCTTCCTTCTGAAGGTGGTGAGATTGCCCAGAGAAGCTGTGGCTGCCCCATTCCTGGGAGCATTCCAGTCCAGGCTGGAGGGGTTTGGAGCAACATGGGATAGTGAAAAGTGTCCCTGCCCATGGCACAGGGTGGGACGAGATGGCAGAGTGGGCTTTAAGGTCCTTCCCAACCCAAACCAGTCTGGGATTCTGTGATCCTATGACTATGCTGAAGGAGAGCACCCAGGGGGTGCAGCCAGGGCTCTGTGTTTGCCCTACAAGGACCCAGAGCTTTGCAAGGTGTTGGGGAAATGTGGGTGGTTTTTATGGGGTCATTTGGCATGAGGTGTTATGGGGCCGGGCTCTGATCTCAATCTGTCTCCTCTTCTCAGCGCACAAGCAACGTTCGCTCAACCTTTTTCAAGGACTGTTTATATGAGGTGTTTGATGACCTGGAATCCAAAATGGAAGATTCTGGGAAGCAGCTGCTTCAGTCTGTTCTTCACTTGATGGAAAACGGGGCTCTTGTGTTAACCACAAACTTTGATAACCTGCTGGAGCTGTATGCAGCACACCAGGGGAAGCACCTTGAGTCTCTTGACCTGACTGATGAAAAGAAGGTAAAGGATGATTATTTCTTTTGTCAGGGACTGTGGTGGTGCAGAATGTGTTCTCATGCTGCCTGAGGGCATTGAACTAATTGTGGTGGTTTTAACTGGTGGCAGACAAGCTCCAGGCAGAGGCTCTGGCTGTCCTGGGCAGTAAGGAGAGGAATGAGGAGGAATGCTCCTTTCTGGAACGCTGGTTTGCTGGCTGCCATCCAGTGCTCAGGAGGAGTCCTTAAGCCTGCTGTTCCTTTGATCTCTGTCCTTGAAACTTCTGGCTTGGCCTTGCTTCCACATAAGGCTCGGGTTGATGTTTCTAATCCATATGAGAAACCACACAAGATGCAAAGCTGAACTTTTTCTTTTCATAAGGTGCTGCAAAGTGCTTTTTGTCAGGGCTGCAGCCTTCGAGGCTCCCCTCTTGCTCCATGTCCTCTTCCTGCCATGGCTGGAAGGGCTCCTCCTGCTGCACTCTCAGGGCTACTCTCTTCATGCAAAAATCCCTCCTCCTGCCCCAGTCAGGCTGTGAAACCCTGAACTCTGCACCTGCCCACCTCATCTCTCCATCATGGTTTTACTGGTGGGGAGCATCTCTGCCTTCTGTTTGCATGTTAAACACCCTCAGTGTCTGTGTCCTGTGCAGTCCTTGCTCTCTTTTCATCCTCATTTCTGTGCTTCACATTTCCTGCGTGACCTCTTAATCTACAAGGCTGGGAGTACTTACAGTGTTACAAGTAAGCATTCTAATTATTGCAAGCTTAAATGAGCTGAGGTCTGCAGGAGTAAACCGAGAGCCTTGGAAGCAGCTGTCTGAAATGGAGGTCAGCTCAGCTGGTGACTCCCTCAGAGCCAATAGGGGCCACAAAATAAAACTTGATAAAACGTAGGAGTTGTAGTTTTTTCTCCTTTTTCTGGTCAATCTAGCATTTTGATTCAGTCTTCTCATCACATTCACCAGTCAGCTGAAGTGCTGACTCAAATGAGTACCACAGGCTGTGGCTGCAGGCCATGGTGTAGAGGCTGATGGAGGAGAGAAGATGAGGAAGAAGCAGCCTCTTTGGAATGCTTCCCCAAAATGTTACATTTAGCAGTGCTGTGGTAGCCAACATGATGCACTCACCAACATTGCTGCTGGTTTGCGTTATGCAGGTGCTGGAGTGGGCGCAGGAGAAGAGGAAGCTCAGTGTCCTGCACATCCACGGGGTCTACACCAACCCCAGCGGCATCGTCCTGCACCCGGCCGGCTACCAGAACGTTCTGCGCAACACCGAGGTCATGGTGAGCCACGCTGGGGCCGGGCTCGTGCAGCTACAGCTCCCGCTGGGGTCAGTGGGCATAGCTCAGCTGAGCTTAGACTGAGCCTCACAGAGGGTGGGGGACAATTAATTAGATATGGGAAACAGGAGGGGTGAATTCCTTGGCCTGCTAAGGTGCTAGATCACCTCCCACACTTGCTGAAGGATGCATTGCTGCAGAGCCTCCCCAGGGATAGGGCAGGTGCTGTCTCTTGTGAGGATGAAGCTCACATTGACCAACATCTTTCCCCTTTCTTAAAGCGAGAGATTCAGAAGCTGTATGAAAATAAGTCCTTCCTCTTCTTGGGCTGTGGTTGGACAGTTGATGACACCACGTTTCAGGCCCTGTTTTTAGAGGCTGTCAAGCACAAGTCAGACCTGGAGCACTTCATGCTGGTGCGAAGAGGGGATGTGGATGAGTTCAAGAAGCTCCGTGAGAACATGCTGGACAAGGGGATCAAAGTGATTTCCTACGGAGACGAATACGCTGACTTGCCCGAGTACTTTGAGCGGCTGACGAGCGAGATTGCCATGCGGGGCCGCACAGGTACGGGGCTGGGGCTGGGGACCCTTGGCTGTCACCATGCAGAGCAGAAAGGGGTAGTGCCCCCTGTTCTCCGTGCTGTATAGAGATTTCTGAAGCCTTTTTGTAAAAAAAAGCAAACACGTCTCTTAAGTGTAGCTGGATTTTCGGGTTACTTTTCTGAAATCACTCTATGTTTTAACAGTTTAAACAGCTGTACTGCTTCCCACGCTTGCCTCCCAAACTTTGTTTTTCATGTGCAGCTGTTTGTTCTGTTTTTAGTCAAGGGGCATTTAGTCTAACCCTTGTGCTGCTCAGCCTGAGCCAATGCTTTTATACAAGAGGTATCACTAATAAACCATAAAAGTGGGGGAAAATGGGTTCACTGCCTAGAGCCTTGCTGGCAGGTATTCTGAGGGTTAACCCAGCCAGGAAAGCCTGTGTGAAACCTGTGTGAAAACGGGCAGCTGGCTCTCCACCTGACACTGATCTCTGCTCTGCCCCAGGTGTGCCCAAGGAGGCACAGCAGCTGAACGGCTCTGCTGCTGCCCACGCTGAGATAAAAGGTAAGGAAGGCTCTCTGGAGCCAAGGGGCTTCACCCTGTGTCGCTCCCTGGAGTCCCAGGCAGGTTTTCAGCCTTTGCTTCCACGCAGGATGCAGCCCCTGAGCCTCAGCCCTGCCCAGGCCGAGCTGCGGCAGGGACTCCTGGGCCAGGCCCAGCCAGGCCAGCAGCCCTCAGGGAGGCCAGAGCCCACCACTGTCCCACTGCTGTCCAGCACTGAGCCAGGACCCTTCCGGCAGGGACAGGCCAGGACAGAGCCACCACGGATGAACACCTGGTCTAACATAGCAATTGTGGTTTTACTGGGGCTGCGTGTGCCTGCGGAGCGCGGTATCCCTGAGGGAGCTGCAGCCTCCTTTAACTTCATACCTAGTGCTTTTATATTCTGTATTTCAATTAAAAAATGAAACTTGAGCTTTTTTTTTTTACTGGAAGCTCTAGTTTTCTAGTCCTGTCTTTTTACTGTACAGTATTTTGTATGTTGAAGTTGTATTAAAGGCCTGCTCACTGAACTTTGGCTGCTGTATCATTTAAAAGCCCTTTCACCCCTCACACTCGTGAGAGTTCACCTCCCCCAGACCCAGTAGGAAACAGGTCCTAGCTAGAGGCAAGTTATTTATACACAGAGAACAAATTATGAAGTTTATTTTATATAAATTATGTCTCTTAGCAGACAGCATTCAATTTATTGCACTATAGCACATCTGCAATACAGAGCTACAAGACATCGTCAGAGGTTTGTATTACTCAGTGTAGCACTTCCAACCGGGATCAAGAGGCACTCGGAGCGGGGAGAAAGGGTGCAGGAAAGCAGCAAGCAGCCACCATTCTCTTCCAGTATTAATGTGGTTTGGTTTCTTTTTCTTTTACTAGCAAATAACGCCAAGACCAGCGGGCAGGAGCCAGGCAGGGCACGCTGCCTTCCTTCTCTGGACCTGGCTGCTGCAGCTCTCCAGCTCCTGCCCAAATACGTGGTGTCTGGGGACCCTGCTTCAGAGTCCGGGTGAGGACAGATATGGGGGACTTTAAGGCAATTTAGCATGTCCCCTTCCAGCCCAGCACAGGCCATCACCTTTTTTTGGTTTATCAGCTTCGGTGGAGCTGCCATGAGCAGCAACATTAATAGCCAGATCTAAAGCTGCCCCTAAGCCCAAGTCCCTCCTGCCTCCTCCCTAAGCTGGTCTAAAAATCAAAAGCAGCTCAGTAAAAAGCCTTTCAAACCCACCAAAAAGCACAGCAGATCCTGACACCGCCCACCCCCCCGTGCAGCATGAACAATACAAAGCTCTGGATTCGGCCTCCCTGCAAGGGAGCCTGTGTCACTGGACACAGAATGGAGGAACCCAAGCAAGGGCTTTTTCTGGATAAAAGGAGGTTTATCCAAAAAAAAGTACTCCTCATGCTGCTATTCCTCCATTCTGTTCTGCACTACACGGGAAAGACTAGTTGGTGACAGGGTAAAGCAGGTTCTTCTGTGACATCTGCACACAGCGATTTGGTGTTTAGGCCTTCATGAGCGCTGCGACCACGGCCTTGGCGTTAAGGCTTCGCAGATCACAGTAGGTTTGTCCGGTACCAACGAAAACGATGGGCTTGCTCGTGATGTAGGTCATGGAGATGGCGGCACCCACCTGCCGGGGACAAGCAGCATTGTGAAATCCAGTGCTCCCCTGCAGGGAGCTCGTCATTCATTCATCCCCCATGTGTGGAAACCAAACTTGCAAATTTGCATTCAATGGCTTAAACACAAGAAGAAAGTGAGGAGTGCCCTGTGTTTGACAATTCCCATCCCTCCCCTCCACTCACTGTCAGGACTATGCAGAGTCACTCAGCAGCCTCCTTACCTTGTCATCAATGGTATCAAACTTGGTGAGGACGATCCCATCGATGAGCCGTGGTGTCTGGGCCATGGAGTGATCAGCCAGGGCCTTGTTGAACTTGACCTGAGAGAGAAAAAAGATCCGAGAAAAGCATTTGTGGTGCTGCCACCATCCAGTTCTCTGGTAAAGCCTACAGAAACAGGCTATGTACCCCCTTTGTCTCTCAAGAACAAAGCTCCACACTCACCAGCTGATCCACAGCCTCGTTTCCTACCAGTGCCTCCCCAACAAACAGGACCAGGTCGGGAGCGTTGACAGCGATGAGTTTGGCCAGCGCGGTCATCAGGGGTGCGTTGTCCTGCATGCGTCCCGCCGTGTCCACCAGCACCACGTCGAAGCCCTGGTTCCGAGCTGGCGTGGCAGGGAGCAGCGTGAAGGACAGCACTGCCCCAGGACAGCACTGCCCCAGGACAGCACCACCCACCCCCAGCTCCGCACGTACCGTAGGAGATGGCCTCCATGGCGATGCCCGCGGCGTCCTTGCCGTACCCCTTCTCGTAGAGCTGCACCATGGTGCGCCCGCCGTGGCTCTCCGGAGGGTGCAGCGCGTTGAGGCGGCGCGTGTGGGTGCGCAGCTGCTCCACCGCTCCCGCGCGGAACGTGTCGCAGGCGGCAATGAGGACGCTGAAGCCGTTCTCGATGAGCCAGAACGAGATCTGCAGGAGGAACAGATCAGAAAAGCCCGCTAGGAGCTACACAGCCTGACCCCATCACCCACTCCTGTGCTCCGGGTCCTGTCCTGCCTTGGCCAGGTTGGTGGATTTCCCGACACCGTTGACACCACAAAAGGTGATGACGTAGGGCCGGCGATGGCGCTGGGCATCCATGACATCACGGAGAACGTCCACACGGCGCTGGGGCTGCAGGATCTGCACCAGGGCCTCCTGCAGTGCCTGCTTCACCGTCGAGGTCACCGCTGGGAAAGGGAATGGAAAGAGGATCTGTCATGCATGGGGAATACTCCAGAGCTCCAAACCACATGCAGGATGCCACATGGACACTTACTGGTGAACGTTCCCATCACCTTCCCTTCCAGTTTCTTGGCCACAGATTCACAGAGCTGCACTGCAATCTCAGCTGCCACATTTTTAGCTTTGAGGAAGACAGAACAGGGAATCAGTGCTGCTGAGAAGGTTATGCACATCACACATTGGTGTCAAAGGAAGGATGGAGTCAGTGTGCAGGATTCCCATCAGACCTGACTGTTGCCCCCCTTTTGCTGCACTCTCGAGGGCTCAGGGGTGACACAGGAACCCACCACAGTTCCTGTGGGCAAGAATATCCCAAACCACGGGCACTACCCACACCGGGGCCCACTCAACAAAGTACAGGGAACCACCACTAATCTCACACCATGGATCCAGATGTACCAATCAAGTGATCCTTCATCTTCTCCAGCACAGGGTCCATGTCCTCTCTGGTCAAGCTCTTGGAACCCACCAGACCCTTCAGCATGCCAAACATGCCCCCCAGGCCACCCTTCTTCACACTGTGGAGAAGCAGAAGAGTCACACTGAGGTTTGAAAATGATCATCTGCAGAGATGAGATGCAGAAGAGCTTGCCCTGAGAGGACAAACACACCAGTTTGTGCTTCCTGCATTACTGGTTAGACTAGAACGGGAGTTACGGGAGAGAAATCAACAACCATGTGACAAGCAAGGAAAGCCTCTACCTGGGTTTTGACGGGTTCTGGACAACTTTCTCCTCTTCAGCTTCATCATCACTCTCATACTCCAGGTCATAGAGGCGGCCAGGCTCCCGATTTTTGTCCCCCAGGGCCTGCAAGGAGAAGAAGCGGCTTTATGGGCTGAGTGCCACAATCGTGTTGTTGCTATTGAGGCAGGACAGGAATGAAAGAACTCCAGTTCAGAAGGCTTGATGATATGAACACTAACTAACTTGATTTCAAATACATTGCTCTTTTATAGAGAGCATCATGCAGACTAATTTCACTGGTCTTAAAGTAAAAACATCCCACACCATGAATGACGCACGGTGGCAGAACACATCTATCAACAACGTGAACAACAAGAGAGATAGAGAATTATTTACATTCCTTTGCAACTCTTTCCCAGGCTCTAGCCTGGTTAGAAACTCTCCTTTCCCTCTGACTGAACTGAGAATACCCATATCCTTGTTTCATTTTCTTCATGTTCCCTTCTCACGCAGGCACAGAGACTTCATAATGCCCAGCTGATCCCAGAGAATGCATGACAGCAAATGGAGCCTGGCTTTTCCTTACCATGTCAGGGTCAAACTCCTCCACAGGACAAGCCTCCGCGCTGCCGTTGGTAGCAGAATTACTGTAATCGAGTACTTTGGCATTAGAGTTCCCCAGATCCCACACCCGGGGCTTCTTCCCCTTCTCCTTCTGTGCATCGGGCTTCGGAGATCTGGTGGAACAAAGACCAGAAACACTTTGTGTTCAGTGCAGGGAAGCGGCAGCAGCCATCACCTCGTTAGGAGACATGAAAAATAAAAGGCTGGATTACCCAAAAAGGCAGAAATTGACCTCTCTGATCTCTAGAGTTTATTTATCTCAACTTTAACCCATATGGCACCACTTCTCCTCAAGCCAGGTATCAATGCACTACTGCTGTCTGCTCACTAAAGACAGGTCTGGACCTCTCCCAGGGCTTCTGCATCTCCCAGCAAAGGAAATCAGGTTCTATTACCCCTCCAGGACCCCCGGCTATCTTCTGTCAGTCTTTTCAGCAAGGAGGGAAATCAGGGAAATAAGGTCCAGGAAAGTGAGGTCTGGCTTCCAGGGGTCACCAAAAGGAAGAGAGATTCAGCCATAGCCTAGTTCGAAGCATAGGCAGACTGACCATGCCCTCATCACCCACCTGGATTTCTCCCCAGCTTTCATGTGTCTCCTGAAGAATTCCTCCCGGTTCTTCTGCAGGATTTCATCCTTGGTCAGTTCCTCCTTGTCCCCTGCTGCTGAGAGCTGCTTGTCACCCGCAGATGCTTTACTGGGCGCTGCCACAGCTTCAGTTCCTGGCAGGAAGAGCCCAAACACAAGCTCAGTCCAGCTCCAAGTGGATTGGGAAAGCACAGGCTGCAACACATAGCTCTGGAATACATATTTCCCTCCCATTTATCTTCCCCATCAACTCACCATCCTTTTTGGAACCTTTGTTCTTCTTGTTCTTGACCTTCTCCTTTGGTTTCTCCCCTCGGGTTTCAATCATACACTTGACAGTCTTCTGGGATTTCTGAGACTGCTCAAACGTCTTCATTACCGTGGGAGCTCGGACTTTGCTGCTCTCCTCTGCATCCCTGCAGGGAGGTGACCCATTAGCCTGGATTTCAGCTCTTCCCCCGCTCCCATCTCTGCTCAAAACAGAAATTTAAGACAAAACCCAAGCTCCCTACCGGAGGAGGCGCATGAAGTCATCTTTAAAATCAAAGGTGCCATTTAAGAGGCCCAGGGCTCCTTTCTGCTGGAACTCGTTGCGGTATTTGTCTCTGAACTCCTTATGGACGTCGTCTATCAACTTGTCCACGTAGGTTAGAGTCAGGATCTTCTGGAAGCCCACCTGCCAAGGAGCACGGCCAACAGACACTGCACTTCCAGCTCATTCAACAGCAGCAAGCAAGCAAAACCCCCTTGGTTTAATTCAGAGTT